ATATATTCGAATCGTCGGCCAATTGACTTTACTATAAGGCTTCGGTCATCCGTGTAGAAGAACAGCGAGCCACTAAAACCGAGACCATCAACTGGTCGAAGCTTCTTGGTGAATTGTTTTTGGTAGTGCTCCTCTGATAGTTTGAACACATTTTCACGTAGATCCTGGAATAGCAATGGTGCTGCTCTCTGGAAATGTGCATGATCTAGAAGGAGAAGTATTTAGCTATCAAATATGCAAATATCATCTAATTGAAGCTAGAGGCATACATAATGAGAAAAAGCTATCAAGCCTGAACTGTCTCTTGACCTCTGGTGATGACCAACCGTCACCTTTCTGTGGTTGGTGACGGATTAAGGACTGGGATTCCTCGCTATGAAGCTGATGTTCGTCTTCTGTATATACAGAGGTTGAAAGCGCCTTGAGAAGACAGTGGATTGTCACATCTGTCTTGTATTTTGTGGAGAAAAATGGTAAGACTAATCGAGCCATGATGCCTTTATCTGATATTTGGGCCCAGTCGTAGGATTGAGGCCTTGTAGAATTTTAGAATCAGGGGCAATAAATAAGGTGGAAACAAACCTACTCTTCTACGCCCTGAGGATGATTAGGGTTATGGTGATGAACCATGATGCTATAATACTGTGACGAAGGTGGCGCTTGTTAGTTCACGTTCTAAATTCTTTGGTGGATTTTGAGATGTAAGGATTTTGAAGATTAAGAGGAGGAGAAGCCATCGTAATTTATATCTAATAGTTCCTTATCCGGTATCGAAACCGGAAGCAAGAGTTATTATCGTCAAAGTTCAAGTTTTTGCAAAGAGTTCAGTTGGAGTCTGGGCAGTCGTAAAGTAATGGCTATGACGTCACATGGAGCTGTCAAGCATGGAGCCGGTGGCTTGTGAGACACTCTCAGCCACACACCACACCACACGATGGTAATTTGCCAAGCTCGTCTTCTCCAACCTCCTTCGTCCATCTCACTACTCAGATTTCGCAGACGCGCCTTCCACCGGCCCTCCGTTGGACTCAACACCATCAGCTCTCAACGCTTTCAATTTTAACGTTCAGTTGCAGTCAGTTAACTATGCGTTACAGTCAAATTTGTGTCAGTTGGCTTTGAATGTTGGCGATTTGGACCTCCATCCCCGGATAAGATCGTCGGACCTGAAACTGGGGTTCAAATAGTGGGGTTAACTGTCTGCCCGGATTATAATGTTAAATTTGACAGCTAGAAGCTTCGTTGACGGAATTACGTCGTTTCCGCTCGCGATAGGTCTTCTCTTGGCTCGTCTCACCACATTCCTGCGAATTGGACAGCGAGAGCATGGCGACTTTTCTCCCCTTGCCTGGATGAGAAATGATTCCTTTTGGCTATGTTCTGGTGATGTGCATTTTCCCAGTGAAGATGTGTTTTTTCAGTGGCTTGTGAGCTCGATAGCTACCGCCCGCTCGGACCCTCAGCCGCTCCAAATGTTCCTGAAATTCGGGATTCATTCAGTGAATTGCCAAAAATTTGGCGTTATAAGTTCCGCGTCTGAGAACAGAACAGCTCTGTGCTTTGCTGTCATTCCAGATTTGTCGACTGTGAATATTTTTGGTGAGAGGGTCACACTTTCTTTTCTTTTCTTTCCTTTTTTTCGTTCATCCATTTCGAGCCCTGCCTATGATGTTATTTTGTTTCTAATGACTTTTTTAGATTCGAAGTTTTGGGAAGGCAAGGAGGTTTCATAGCAAGGCGGCGATATGGAAGTGTTCATGTTGCAACGGTGATTCGGTCAACCTAGTTCCAGGACTTCCAATTGAGGTTTGCGTTGTGCGACAGAATCACACTTCTTGGAATCTGTTCAGTTCGGTTCACTTTCTGCGTTGGCACGCCATTTGGAGTAGGGCACTCAGGCAGCTCAACTCAATAGCTACGAGTTCTACAAATGCAAAGATTCCATCAGTGACGATTGCGCACCACTTGCTCGCCGCAGCCTGCCCTTCGGGGGTGTTTATCAGTAGATTTGGGGTGTTGGTTTCTGGGAGCTCCGGTAGGGTTTTGAAACCCTGACCTTAAGTGTCTTGGAAGAGAAAGAGCAGAAGGGCAACTTTACGGATCAAAGTTAGAACTTCATTAGAGGAGAGTTGTGGCCTTGAGTGTTTTGTTCATACCTAGAAGAAGAAGATGATGAAGATAATAAAGGGGCGGTACTTTCTTTGCTGGCAGGAAAGCATCCAAGATACAAATTGTGATTCCCCTTGTGGTTCTGATCGGCCGTAACCTGCAACTTTTCCCCTCTTGGTAGGCAGTGTTGTCATCGCACACTCACTCGCTCGCTCTAACTCTCGCCCTCTTTCTCTCAAGTCCCTGCTCTTCCGCGTGAACATCATCACTTGTCTACTACACTACCACTTTACACAACCAAACCTCTCCACGGGCCAGATTTCTTCACAAGCAGATTGCACTCCTTTGGCCTCCCACTGACGAAAAGAAAAAAAATAAAGTGGGAAAAGCACAGAAACAAATACCTGCGCGTCGATATATCCCCCGAGTCACATCACATTACCTAGCCCATTCACGTCCACCCGCCCAATCGCTTGCAAAAACTAAAAAAACAGAAAGGACATCGGCTCTCTCCCCCAAGAAGAAGAAAAAAGTAGGCCCTGATGAGTCTCTCCGACTCCGACAGCCCACTCTCGTCAGTGCCATCCAGCGGCGACGAGGGAGAGGACCAATCCTCTCCCGAAATCCCCGTCAAGAAGATTTCCAAGAAGAAGCAGCAGCAACAGCAGAAGAAACAGCAGCAGCAGCAGCAGGCTCGGAAGAGTTCCACACCACCGCCTCCCCGAAAACCGCGACGCAAGGAACAGCCTCATGTAGCCACGCTGTCGGACGCCCCCGAGCTGGCGTTCATCGTCATGTTCCGCTCGCGGTTCGCGGACGCGTTTAAGGGCGTGCCGAACCTGGGGTGTCAGGACATTGAGAGGGGCGTTGTGGACTCTACACCGAGCGAACAGGTTGAGGTGCTGCTTTGTCGTCTGCTGGGCCTGGTGCTGAATAGGAAGAAGCCTGTTGAGTGAGTTTTCTTATTGTTATTTATTATTATTGTCCTTTCTTTCTATTCATGCTCTCTTTCTTTCTTTCAACCCTTGTTTTTTGGGAGCGGTCGGGGGTTAGGTGCTGACTTTGTGTGGTGTGTGTGTAGGCGCGGCCATTATCAACGTCCACTCGAAGAGGCTGTACACGCTCATGTCACCCAATGGCCGAGATCATGGGATGGAAAGAGCCCGTTTGCGGGAGGCCGCCATTTCAGCGCCTTGGATGCACCGCAGAGAGTGAGTTTGGTCGATTCGGGATTTTTTTTACGCACTCGCCCCCGCAACAGGCTTACTAACGAGGGTGAACTTATAGTTGTCGGTTTTGAAGGCATTGATAAACTGGGCCTTAACCTCCTCAGAAACCATTCGCGCGCTCGTCGCGGAATCGTACAAATCAAGCCGTCATGAGGACGATCTTAACATCCCTATATCCGTCCAGCCGTGGGGTCGGGACGGCGATAAAAGACGGTATTGGCTAATTGAAGGACGAGGTTTTTATTCCCCCTCTCTTCCCATCCTTCTCTATTACAGCTTCTCGCGCACAGAACGTTTCTCTAACAATACGGGGGCTACAGAGGATACTCCATTCAGGTTGTACCGGGAGAGCAATCCTGCGCTCAAGACGGTCTCGTGGATTAACGTCGCCGGCACCATCGACGAAGTCCGCGCAGTCGCGCAAGAGCTCGAAGATGAGGACGGCAGTAAGCACGCACTCGCGCTGAAGGAGAAGATCCTCAGCGCCATTCCGCGCTTCGAAGAGGGCGAGATTGTATGCCTCCCCACCTCCGGATTACCCTCTACTCTAACTAGCAAGGCTAACAAGCGACCATACAGAGACGGAAAAAGCGCGAGTACCGCCAGTCGCGAAAGGCTTTTTTCAAGCAGCCCAACGGCACCTCCCTCTACGAAGGGCGCACGCGCGGCAAGCGCATTAAGTACACCTTCTCCAGCGACGACGAGGACACGCCTGCCAGCGCCAACAACACCAAGCCCGGCTCCGAGACCGAAGACCACCAACCCCGCTTCACAGCGAGCGGAAGACAGATCCGGAAGCCGGCGATGGGCGCATACGGCGAGCTCAAGATCAACGGGTCCAACGGCACGGCGACGGGCGATGCAACACCGCACGCCGGCAGTGAGCGCAGCTATGGCGGCGATGCCACGCAGGATTGGGACCACGAGTCGGCGTCGGAGGATTACTCGGACGAGGAGGACGAGTGGCCGCTGCAGGAGGAGGAAGAAGAGGGCGCGCCAAAGAAGAGCCTCAGGATCATCCTAAGGGTCAATAAATCGAGATTGCCAGAGTCCACGCCTCAGCCGGCGAAGAGCGGCGCCGAGGAGGAGGTCAAGGCGAACGGATATGTTGGCGGCGGTGCCGAAGAGGCGAATGGTGTCCATATACAGCAGAGAACTGAGATTGATGTACTCCCGGACGCGCCGGAGGTCCAGGTCAATGGGAAGGGATAGTGGTAGCAGCAGTTACAGCAGGATCGATGGTCTCAGTAGGTGATGATGGTTTTGATGATGGGGAGGGAAAAAATATGCCCGCTTTCTTGATCTCTCGTTTTATTCCCTTTTCTACATGTTTGGGACGGAGGGGAGTATTATTACTGTTGTGGTTTCTATCAGTCCCAGTCTTTACTCTTTATTTTACTCTGTATACTCCTCTATCTACCCATCTACCTACCTAACTTTACCTACCTTTACCTACCTTTACCTACCTTTACCTACCTTTACCTATATGACCTAAGTACTTACTTTAAAGTCTTATACTCAATATTGTCATTTCCACCACCCCCTCCTATCAAGCACCAATTATCATCACTGCTTATATTGTACGATAATTCATCTTCTTTTTCTTTTTAAAGGATCACTAGCCTTTTATACTTTTTTTTTCTCCTGTGGTCGTTTTCTTTCATGGCCGGGGTGAAGGCGGAGAGGCAGAAGCAGAAGCAGAGGCTGAGGCTGAGGGCGGGGGAAGATATACAGGTGAAAAAGAATGAGACACCAAAAAAAAACACAAAAAGGGCGCGCTGCAACTAAGATAGAGCTAGCTACATATTAGTGTCATGTATGTAGTACTTGGTAGACAGACACAGATCGATTGATTGATGCGGGATATGGATAAACGCGAGCTGTGCTTGTGGGTATGTAATGTTTAGCAATGTGGGGGAGCTTGGTTATCGATGAAGGAAAAATTTAAAAGTATGCGGACCGGTGAAATGATCGTGTGTGGATGCTTTTTGGGGGGGTGGTTGTGAGAGTATGTCCGCTGCATTGGCCTAGCTAGGTAGCTGGCTATATATTGGTTCTGCTCTATCGTCCGGATCCGTTTTGATAGAGTATTCTAGAGGCAGGCTGCTGCATAGGGTTTCGTTATGGTGGTGAAGAACCTGCGGTACGGTGCTGCCGTATAGGATGCGTGTTCAATATTCTAGAACCGTGTCCTGTATTCTAGGCCCGTGTCCTGTATTCTAACCGTGAAGTTAGAGCCTCTTTTGGTCTCTCTGACATTGCTGCATCAATCATCTCGTTCTCTCGTCATCTCATGCTTAAGCACTGCCGCCCACGGGCGTCAGAGGGGCTTGAACTAATGCTTCTCTACCTCCGTCTTCACGCTTCCCCCTACTCGTGGATGGTGGTAGTTAATTTGGCCTTGTGTCAGCCATTGAAGTACCGGCACATGCACAACATCATGCCTTACCTTACTGTATGTCTGTGCTCTACTCTTATGCACACAGCTTGCTTACTCTGCTCTACTCTATGTACTCTACGTACAGCCGCCTGCTTGCATTTGCACCCATAGCCCTATTGCAGCTTTGAGTTGACTGCTGCGGAGTTAACGAGTAGAGAGTAATATTCATACCTTGATTTGATACCTCGATACCTCGAAATCAATCTCCTTGTTCAGATAAGCCCGCGATAAGAGTCGCCAACCCCAACACAGCTAGCGTGCCCCTCCACTGCGGCTCTTCCCAACCCCTGCACCTTGGCCCCCAAAACCCAAAAACCACAAAAAAAAATATCACAGTTCCACCAGCAGCAGCAGCAGCAGCAGGAATCCCCCACCATGGTTTCGAAATACAAACCGACCCGCGACCGAAAGCAACGGCACAGAAAACCAAAGCCGAACACCACTTTCGATGATGCAGACGCCGCCCCACAAGACCCCAATGCCGCCCTCCTCATCCCCGAGTCCAAAAGCGCCAAAGAGCTCCGCCGCGCCGAGCTGCGCGCGGAGCTACAATCCCAGCAGCAGCAGCCAAAAATGAGCAGCAAGAAGGCCAAGCGTCTTGCAAAATACATTGAGAACAAGCTGCGCAAGGAGGAGCGTGTGGATCTGATCCAGAAGCTGGCGGACCAGCCGCACAAGGTCGACACGAGCCTACTACGGAGCACAAAGACGATGGGCACTGCACGCGAAAGCAAGCGGGAGACGATGCGGCGAGCGCTGCTGGAGGAGAAGTTCGGCATCAATGTGGAGGAGAATAAGAAGATCCTCTATGAGGAGAGGACTATACGCGATGCGGACGAGCTGGAGGTGGAGGTGCCGGAGGTACTGGTGGAGGTGCCGGAAGCCCCCGTAGAGGAGAAAGAGGAGGTCCCGGAGCTAGTGGTGATAACGGTGGGGTCTGGGCTGAAGAGGCCGTTGGAGATTGATGACACGGGGCGGCCGATATTAAAGAAGATTAGGAAGTCGAAGGAGGCCAAGAAGGAGCGATTAATGGCCTTGATCAAGGCTATGGAGATCGAGGAGGAGCAGAAAGCACGGGTTGCTGCAGAAGGCGCATCTTCGGACGAAGACGAGGATTCAGACGAGGAAATGGACTCTGACGATGACGGTAGTGGCGCAGACGACTCTGAAGGAGAAGAGTCTGAGGAAGAGTGGGGTGGAATCCAGGACACCCCCAGTGAAGGAAGTGTCGCCGCAGAGACCGAAGCCGACGCAGAGGCGGATTCTGATGCCAGATCTGAAGAAGAAGAGGGCTCAGACTCAGACCCAGAGTCAGGCTCAGGTTCTGGAAGCTCTGGAGAAGAGGAGTCCGGCTCCTCCGGCGAAGCCGAGTCCGTCCCCCGCATGAAGCGCGGCCAGTCCGACAAAGCCAACGCCTTCAAGTCATGGGCCCTGGCTCAAGTCAAAGCCGTCGCACAAGAAAACGACCCCACCGGTGCCGACACTAGCATGCCCGACCTCCTCAACATGCCTCCCAGCGCCGTCCATATACATATCCCGCGGCCGCGCGAACAGGACATGACACCGCCGCCCGAGCTCCAGGGCCCAGCCGTGGAGCGCAAGGCCTACTACATCGCCGTTGACCGCAGCCCCGAGATCCAGCAGGCGCGGCTCGGCCTCCCCGTGGTGGCGGAGGAGCAGCGCATCATGGAGGCGATCCACAACAACTCGTGTGTGGTCATCTGCGGTGAGACGGGAAGTGGAAAGACGACGCAGGTGCCGCAATTCCTCTATGAGGCCGGGTATGGCTCGCCCGGGAGTGAGACGCCGGGGCTGATTGGCGTCACGCAGCCAAGGAGGGTTGCGGCGGTGTCGATGGCGAGCCGTGTGGGCACGGAGTTGGGCACGGGGGGGAAGGATAAGGTTGCGTACCAGATCCGGTTTGAGGGCACGGTGGGCAAAGATACGGCCATCAAGTTCATGACGGACGGTGTGCTGCTGAGAGAGCTTGCGGACGACTTTCTGCTGAGAAAGTACTCGGCGGTGGTGATCGATGAGGCCCATGAGAGGAGCGTCAACACCGATATCCTGATCGGTGTCATGAGCAGAGTCTTGAAGCTGAGAGAAGAGATGAGCAAGAAAGACAAAGTCACAAAGGTCAGGAAAATTAACCCCCAGAGTCCTAAAGAAATGATACTGACATCCGCCAGCCTCTAAAACTCATAATTATGTCCGCGACTCTCCGTGTCTCCGACTTTACAGAGAACAAGCAGCTCTTCCCCGCCCCCCCACCGCTCCTCAAAGCCGAGGCCCGTCAGCACCCCGTCACCAACCACTTCTCCCGCCGCACCCCCCACGATTACGTCGAAGAAGCCTACAAAAAGATCTGCAAGATCCACCGCCGCCTCCCCCCCGGCGGCATCCTCGTCTTCATGACAGGCCAGAACGAGATCACCACACTCCTCAAGCGCCTCAAGACCACCTTCCCCTTCAAAACCTCCGAAGGCGCACCCAAAATCAAAGAAAGCGCCGCCCCCGAAGTGCGCATCTCCGCGCGCGACGCCGCCGTCGAAGCCGAAGACGTCGAGTTCGGTGCTCGCCCAACACAAGAGGCTGGCAGCGATGATGATGATGATGATGACTCCATCCTCGACGAGGACGACGACGATCTCGGCGATGAGATGGCAGAAACGGACACGGAGGCGCCGCTGCACGTGCTCCCGCTGTACTCGCTGCTGCCCACGAAGGACCAGATGAAGGTGTTTGAGCCCGCGCCCGAGGGCAGCAGGATGTGTGTTCTTGCGACCAATGTCGCCGAGACGTCGCTCACGATCCCTGGGATCAGGTATGTGGTTGATTGCGGGCGCAGCAAGGAGCGGAACTTTGATAAGGTGACGGGGGTGCAGAGCTTTGATATTGGCTGGATTAGCAAGGCGAGTGCGATGCAGAGGGCGGGTAGATCTGGGCGAACGGGGCCCGGACACTGCTATAAGCTGTACTCCAGTGCTGTGTATGAGAGGGACTTTGACGAGTTTGCGGAGCCGGAGATTTTGAGGATGCCGATTGAGGGTATGTTTTAGGTGTCGAGTGATGACCTGTGATTGGGAGTTGTGCTGACTAGGAGTGTAGGTATTGTGCTGCAGATGAAGAGTATGAACATCGACACGATCACAAATTTCCCCTTCCCAACACCCCCGGATAGACCGAGTCTGCAGAAGGCTGAAAGGGTTTGTTATACTCCATGGCCCACAGTGTATTCGTTGCTGACACATTCTGCTAGTTGCTGGGATATCTTGGAGCTCTAGACTCCAAAGGCGGGCTTACAGAGCTTGGCCGCACAATGAACGTCTTCCCTCTCTCCCCGCGCTTCTCTAAGATCCTCATCATCGGCCAACAGCACAGCTGTCTCCCCTACATCATTGCTATCGTCGCCGCCCTCACCGTCGGCGAAGTCTTCATCCCCGAACACCAACTCGACATCGCCGACCCCCCAAGCGACGACGACGCCCCCCCCACAGTTGAAACCGCGCACGAACGCAACCAGCGCGCCACCCGCCGCAAGGCCTACAACCGCGCTCACCGCGCTTTCTCCGCCCTCGACCCCACCAGCGACGCCCTCAAGCTCCTCTCCGTCGTCTGCGCCTACGAGTACGAGCCCTCGCCCGCGGCCTTCTGCGAACGCAACTTTGTGCGCCTCAAGGCCATGCAGGAGACTCGAAAACTCCGGCAACAGCTCACAAACATCGTCCGCACAAACTGCCCGCCGGGCGTCCTCGCGCCCTTCTCGCCGCAGATTCCGCCGCCGTCACAGCTCCAGGTCAAGGCGATCAAGCAGATCATTTCCGCGGGCTTCATCGACCAGGTGGCCATCCGCGCGGACCTATTCCCGAACTCGACGTACAAGCTTGGCCAGGCGTCGCTAAAGCGGGTGATCGACGTGCCGTATATGACTCTGTTTGCGTCGTCGGTGGCTCACGGCTCGGATAACATGGCGGAGGTGGCAGCGTACGTGCACCCTGGCTCGGCGCTGGCGCAGCAGCAGAGCTATCCAGAGTATGTGGTGTATAGCGAGCTGAAGAGGGGCGCGGCGAAGGTCAGGTTGAGGCCGCTGACGCCTGTCACGGGGACGCAGCTGGCGGCGCTGGCGAAAGGCACGCCGCTGCTGTCGTATTCGAAGCCGTTGGAGAGCGTGGCACCGAAAGTGGTGGAGGGGTCCGGGGGGAATAGCAGGGAGGTGTGGGTCATACCCAGGATGGGGGGCGCGGTGGGGAGGAGTGAGCTCGGATGGCCGCTGCCGGCGAGGAAGGTCGTGCAGAGGAAGGTGGCAGGGAAGTGGGTGGTGGAGTAGAGGGTGTGTATAGTAGACTTGTACGTTAGGTTAGTTAGTTAAAAGTTTTACATTTTGGATTTGGGGGGGGGGGGGTAATATAGTGCGTGGCTTCTTGCTTTTTTGTGGTTGGGGATTGCTTTGTGTATAGAAGAACCAGCTAATAGCGCTAGATCTTAAAGATAGCTACATTTAAATACACCGGAATAAATCACACAGTACTGGAGAATAGACCAGGTACAGAGAAATTCTCATACAATTAATCCGCCAGTACACCAAATACTTCTAGAATAGAAAGGCCACGATACCTCTCTTCTGATGTTTCCACGCAGCTCCTCCCAGTTTCTCTAGGAGGAAAGGGATATCCAGCTGTCACATAACTTGGTAGAACGAGTGATCGTCCATGATTGAATTCAATCTTAATCGCGTTTTTGTTTTTTGTATCTTGGTAAGTGCACGCTCCTCCCTTGTGGTCTATCAGAGTATGCCTTGGAAGTAGAATAAAGGTAGGAATAGATGAGCCTTATGAAATCCATGATTTCTTTCCGTGCTCTTTTTTTGCGTATTGGGAAGAGGGGATTGGTGGTTCATTGTGCTGGTGATGGCTTGGTCGGTCTCCATCCCCCCTCATCTTCTCCCCTCACATTCGCTTTCTATCTTGGGTTTCTTTCTACTAACCAGTATCACAAACCCGCACGATTTTGCCGGTTCTCTGCTTTGGTAGAGGCGAGTGATTCTTCATGATCGGGGTTTGGTCTCGTTTTCTTTTGGTAAGTGCGCACCCCACCACCCCCTTCTCTCACTCTTAACCGTAGTTTAAGTCATAGTGCCGTCTCAGTAGACTGAAGATGGAGGGGATTAATACACAGGGGTCATTTTCATTTTCATTATTATCGGAAAAGGTCTAAAATGACACGTGCTCTAAAATAACACCAGGTGAGGTGGCTGAGCTGCATTGACATCAAAGGGTTAGGTGTTCTGCTTCATCTCATCTTGGAACACCGGCCAAGGCTCAAGTACATACCACTTCCAGCGCAGCATCCACCATGGGCGGGTGGTCTAGTTGGTTAGACTGCTCGTCGGGTTAGACACCGCGTGTTTACCCAGGATACACATACAAGGTCCTGGGTTCAAACCAGGGGTGGGGGTAGTAGCGCATATAAGACGCTGCAGTACCTTTTGTAAAAAATCTTTTCTTTTTTCTTTTTCTTTCTCGGTGTAAGGTTCGAGTAGACTTTCTATGGCGAGCTGTCATTTTGCATCATGTGTTGTTGCAGAGCATGTATACCGAAAACTGTGTCATTTTAGACCTTTTTCATATGTCAATGGGTGGGCTTCGGGGTAAAGGCTACAGATCGACTCCCTTTTGCAATGGACGTTATTGCTAGAGATGCGATGAGCTCGCGTGCTGTTGCGGCAGGATGATGGGCCCAAATGAGCAACATGCTATTAGTGGCGTGGACAACAAGAAATGGGCAGGCTTGCTTACACTAGGCTTATGTTATAGCACAGACTCTGGGAACAAACACCGATGCTCCACCGCAATTAAATGCGAGTGATACTCTATGATTCAGTATAACCCGCACAACCTTCGCTGTCAATATTCCCTACTTGCTGCGCTAGTACTGGATTGGTTTGGAGAAGATATAACACTGTTTTTTTCTTGGAAAGATTCATTTTTCCTTTCTTTTCTGGGGCCTATCTGGTACGGGTAGTACAATACCTACATGTACGATCCTCGAGGAGTTAGTGGGCGCCGTTCAAAGTTTCAAAACACGGAGCAAAAAAAAAAAGAAATACCGTTCCAAGGCCCAAAGCAAAAATTGATGAATTAAATAAAATAATAAAAAAAAGATTCAAAGCAGCAAAAAAGGAGAGGCATCCCGCTCTGCTCCTTTACCCAGTCACACAGTGTATGTTTTCCCACCAAGTCTGGGAGGTTCGAACTATCGAACTCGGCCCCTCTGGGCGACACTTCAGCTTGTTAGGTCACAGGAAGTGGTTGATGGTAGGTAATTTTCTAATTCCCTTAAAACACAATTAACGCTAGTGCGTCGGTAGCAGCGTGCTTCCCTCCCCACCATGACCTCGAAATGTAATGATGTGTTTTGATCGCTCAGGATCACTCAATTGATCAGATTTTAGATCAAGACCAGGATTCAGATTAGTATCACTAACTTTCGCCAACGCCAAATATCCAACATTTGGGGATCGAGCAAGCAAGACCACCGAAAGACGGCCCAAACGTACCAACTCACAAGCATCTACAGCCTTCTGATCCCCAACTGCAACCGGAGGCATTAATCACATATGTACCCATACTATCATGCACGAGGCACTAAACATGCAACCAATTCCTTAAATATATTCTCTCCCAAGCACAGCCTCTCACTCGCCGCTGTCAAAATAAGGTTGCGGCTCTGTAACCCCCACCACCCACATACGGTTAGCACCCCCCCCCCCCCCCCCCCACATGACGCAGGGCAGGTAAAAAAAAAACTCTCCAAACGCGGGGCCCATCCCAGCCAGCTACATACATAGTGGGGCACCGATACCATACCATACCATACTCCACCTCACCACCGACCTCAAGTCCTCAAAACCTCACCTCCGCCTAAACTCACCCATCCCCCAAACAACACCCTCTCCATACCCTCACTATACCCCCCGCCCACCACAATGGCACCACCAACCCTCCTCGTCCTCATCTCCGGCTCCGGCAGCAACCTGCAAGCCCTCATCGACGCAACCACGTCCACACCGCCCCTCCTCTCGGCCACCATTACTCACGTCATCTCCAACAAAAAAGCCGCCTACGGCCTCACGCGCGCCGCAAATGCCGGGATCCCGACGACCTACCACAACATGCTACCCTACAAGAAGACACACCCGACCACGGAGGCCGCGCGCGAGGCCTACGACCGTGACTTGGCAGCCCACATACTAAAGCACAGCCCGGACATGGTGGTGTGTGCGGGGTGGATGCATATCCTGTCGCCGACGTGCCTGGGCCCGCTACAGGAGGCTGGCGTCGATATCGTGAATCTGCATCCGGCGCTGCCCGGGTGCTTTGATGGTGCGGGGGCCATTGAGAGGGCGTTTGAGGCGTGGGGGAAGGGCGAGGTGGATAGGACTGGGGTCATGGTGCATCATGTTATCACTGCGGTGGATAGAGGGACGCCGATCGTGGTGAGGGAGGTGCCGTTTGTGGAGGGGGATACGCTGGAGAGGGTGGAGGAGAGGATACATGCTGTTGAGCATGTGGAGATTGTCAATGCTACGAGGATAGCGTTGGGGCAGAGGAGGGAGAGGCTGGCAAAGAGCTAGACAGTGGCTAGAGGTAAAAATGATTACAATAAATTTCTATCTAGGTATCGCTAAGAGCTTTAACAAATAATAACAGTAAATGAAATAAAAAAATGCCTGTGAATACAGATACTTTTGTGGTATACAAGTGAAAATCCCATGCCATGCCCCGTTGTCTATACTCCTTCCAATCCAAAGACTCCTTAATAAGGAATGCCGTTCGTCAAGTGCTGGAACCTATCATACTGTCCAGTCGACAAACTGCTATAACTCTTCTTGATCAGATACCTCATGTAATCCGCAGCCTCCCTCTCGCTCTTCTCCAACACGAAACGATCTCTGAAGTTCTGAATAGTCTCTGGCTTAAAGCAAGGCAACCTAAAGCAACACATATTAGACTCTATCATAACTAACCATTATCAAAAGGATAAACTTACCCGCTGTCCAACATCAAAATGACACAATGCGCCAACTTATCGACGTACTGTCTAACCGCCAAGAACGCCTTAATACACAGCTCCTCGAACCTCAAGTAGGCCTGCGAATCCGTCGTTCCGCCCATGACCGAGACCATCTCCGCAGTGAGCTTGAAGGGGGCCCTCTCAAAGGTGATACCACCCGGAGCAATGTCGAAACAGAAACCGAAATCTATCCACTTTAGTCAGCCACCATCCCGTCATCCATATCTAACCAAGGAAAGAAAAAACCTACCAATATGTAAAATATGCCCAGCCTCGTCCAACATGATGTTACCATTGTGACGATCCTTAAACTTCAACAGATAAGAGATGACCGAGTAACCAGCCATACTCTTGACAAAGTTGTTCCTCGCCTCCTGGAACTTGATGCTGTCCTCACTACCGTACTTGCTAATGAAGTAATCATAGAGCCCCATCTCGTAGTCTCTCCCAAGCATATCTCTAGAGATCGACTTTGGCAATACATCAATGACACCGCAACCCGGTGCAGTAGCAGTAACACGGTACGGGAACACATAGACATCCAACCCCACGCTATTGTAGATACTCCTGAACGCGGAGATGAGCTGCAGAGCCAACATATCCTGCCTACAGTCGTCTCCAACCTTGAAAATGGCACCCTGCCAGACCTCCTTCGTGATGGTGCTCTGACTCTCCTGGCGTCTCTTGTGGCCGCCCACAGTTGTGTCCTCGTGTGACGAAAGGATGGGCTTCTTCTTGATTCTGAAGGTCGCCATGAATGGCGCCTTTGCGTGAGACTGCAATGATTTACCACTGGCTCGGTCGATATCGACGACGACACCGTCGGGGTTGGACGGAAGGTAGACTCCGACGTCGACCTGGATCTTTGCGAGCTCCTCGGCGATCTTTGCGTTTTTCTCGGGCTTGGTCTTTTTGATGTAGGGGCGAAGCTTTCCAGAAATGGAGGTCACTTCGTTGAAGAATGAGAATTCACGCTCGTAGAAGTTCTTGTCTACGCCTGAGAAGCTGTTGACAAGATGCTCCATGACTTTGTCAAGCGTGGGCTTGATTGGGTCCGGCTATAAAACGATTAGCAAGTGCTTAAAATAAATTAGCGGATAGTGCTTACAATAGTAGAGTCCTCGTCCTTGAACGCATTCGCCTTCATGTTCCAGATAATTTGATGTGCGAACAACTGACTGAACTTAGCAGTCTCCAAGATGAACCTTTCAACATAACCCAAAGTATCATATCTCAGCGTCTGCACAATCTGCG